CTACTGGAGTTGTGATCCTTCAGCAGCGCAAGAGCATCTACCAATCCATTTCGAAATCTGAATCACAGGTAATTTCCCTATTGTTGATGATTTTGAGGCGTGTTCTTATCGCGTAGCTACGGGTGTTTGAGACGATTGGTGTATTTCCTGATAATTTATCCGCTAATTGGGGTTAATGTATTATGAACTTGGTGGAAATTTTGGCTTTGTGAACTTGGTGTTAATTGGGGTTAATGTATTATGAACTTGGTTGAAATTTTGGCTTTGTTGGAATGAGTGGATAAATGGGTTTGCAGAATGAAGGGTGTACACAAATTTTGCGGTTGTTGTAGGTCCTAAAAGCTCCTTTTATTCTATAGGTTTCATGATTAGATTAGAGTTCTAAGTTTTGGATGTTTAAATAGTAGGACTGTTGTTTGGCGGGCCGAACAACTACATTTTTATATTTTCCATAGTTATGCAAAGATGTGTAGTTGTATCTGTATAAAAAGGTGGAACTTTGTTAAAACCCGAAACAGAAACACTTAAGCTGTTACTAGCTTTTACTGTTATTATTTTTGTATTTTCTTTTGGTAATCATTTTGCAAACTATGATTTTCAACATATTGTAACAGCTTCATTGTAGAACATCTTTCTCTACTGAAAGTAAAATGAACCCCACCCCTGGGTATGACATATTGGATAATCTTAGAAGGATTGCTTCTTTTGAATCGGCCAAAAGGTTTATTTGAATAGAGTTATGAAAGTTAAGAAATGTGTTGAATGTGTAAAAGTGGCAGCTGATGTATTGCTCATTTAGTTGAAGGGTTGATTCATGATTGAATGTGTTCAGTTATTGAGGACTTGAGAATGTGAGTAATGCATCTCGTGAGATGAAAATGTATAATGGTAACCCTTGATTTAACATTTTTCGTAACATATTGTTGATGTGGGAGAGGTTTTGTGCCTGATTGGAGGAGTGAAAGTGAGAGTTCTGTTTGTCTTTGAAATTTCAATTGACAACAAATGTCGCCTAGTTATTTCCTAAATCAACCATATTCAGGGGGCATATGGACAGATAAAGCAACTCATTGTATTAATAGTTTGAAGAGTCATGTTTATATGCTTAGTGAAACTTTGATCTTTCCTCTGTTACATAATGCCTTTCTTAACCGGAGGGGTATATTCCATTAGATATTAATTCTGTTGGGCAGGTAATTTTCAATATTTATCATATTACTATCAGTGTTTTCGCATTGTGAAATAAAATACTTGAATGCTTATATTTCATTTTGTGGCAATTATCCAAGTTTCCACTTTTCTCTATTTATACTTAACGGTTTGAAGAATTACTTGAATGCTTATATTTGACTACTCTTCTCATTTTAACTTATTCTTTTTTCTATCATTTACCAGCCGAGAGAGCCTATTTTTGGGAGAAAGGCCCGCCAAGAGTTTGCACACATCTGGAATAAATCTGTGGATAAGACATTACGACCTGTCATTGAGTCTCTAAGCTCACGCGGATGGTAGGGTCATTCCAATAATTTGACGAGTCTATGAAGATCCATCATTCTATATTGTTCGATCGTGTCTGGTCTCTGACGTGGCATTCAGCATTCCCCTGTCTCGAGCTACTTCATGCTT